TGTCGCCAAAGTGCTTGCTCATAGGGGGTCATATGATTGTTGGGTTTTTCTCTGTATCTATGAAGCGCCTTGAGGCGACTTTTGTTGTGACCTGGCGATATATAAATAAAATTGAATTGAATTGAATTGAATTGAATTGAATTGAAACACGGCACCGCAGAAAACTATTTTTGGGCGAAAGATAATGAGGAGAGAATGTCCCGGTAAGTAATATTAAGCTTGTTGAGTTTAGTAAACTTCGGTGAAATTAGAATACCAAGGAAAAAAATAACACTTAATGAACTCAGACTGCAATTCTAAAAAAAAATTTTAAACAAATAATGTTTAGCAAATTTGGCTCTATTCTATTCAACACAGTGAAAATGGCTTGAAATTAAAAAACAGTGGATGAAAAATGGCTCCAGGACCTTCTAGAATTATTGCAACCGCCGAATATTTCAGACAGTAGGCTACTGGGGGGAGCTAGCATGAGAGTTATGAGTTATAAGATATAATCCAAGTCGTAACATTGCTGTATGGAGCTGCAGATTTCATTGCAGGTTTATACTGGCAGTGTCACCATGCCAGCTAACTGTATTTCATCATAAGCCAGTGTTGTTCTTTATACATCAATATTACCAAAGTTTACCATAAGGTAGCAATTACACTACACTGTGCAGTCTAGCTAATTTCTCTCATTACTTATCCTATCTGCCAGCTCCATGTTATGAATAGAGTGTAAATCACCCCAGGAAATGGCTGTGCCATGTTCAATGCAGGGATGTGCAGTTCTGGTTCTCAAGACTCCTGTCCTCCCGGTTTTAGATGTTCCCATACTTCAACACAGCTGATTTAAAGAATCATTTACAAACTAGGTGTATGGGGATTATTTGATTTGAATTGAGTATGTTGGTAGAGGTAACATCCAAAACGTGCAGGACAGGATATCCATTTGACATCCCTGACTTCTAGTCAAGGTCATACATCAGGAAAGTTGTTGTTGGTGACATAAGTTTTTGCTTTATTACTTTAGGGCCAACCAGAAGTATAGGAAGAATGAAAAGATCTCAAAATATTGAGAATTCCTTCCTTAAGAAGGCTAAAATACAACCAGAAGCAGAGAGCAATGTCAGGGAAAGGTGGACTGAGCAGCAGTCATCATTGTCACCTGTGAGTTCTACAAATGAAGGTATGTGTGAGATTGAATAAGGAAAATGCAAGGAAGGGATGATTATATTGTCAATTGTTCAACCGATCCATAGGGAACAAATCCTAATATTTGGGAATAAATAATTTAACTAGGCAAATATATGTAGTGTGGTACATAATTGGAAAGTAAAACAAAATCCTGCTTTTAATAATGTTTTTTTATTTAATGAAATCT